TTGTTTTTTGTGATTTGTTTGTTCTCTATCTGTTGTTTTGACACTGCGCCTTGAGCACCAATTTTTGGTGGTGATGTTTGCGCTTTAAAAATCGTTATTATTATTATTATTATTATTATTATATATCAGAAAATGTTGTAGTGTGGATAGAGTGTTATATATCTTGGTGTGGAGCTGTTGCTTTGTGGTTTCATGCTTGCCTCTCAATACCAGGATTTTTGGTCCAATGTAGTTTTTATCTTCAACAAAATATGTTGTTTTTTTAACCCAATATGGTTAAATTGTATTCTGTTTTAACGTTATAAATATATATATATATATATATATATATATATATACATATACACACACACATCCCACTACCACTAATGATTACAGAGCACACACATATATATATATGTATATATATATATATATATATATATATAATACATTAAACATATCCGGTTGAAATAAAACAATTGACAAACATTTCCGCAATATACAGTATCTTTAAAATAGATGTAAACTCATCGGACTGAAATTTAAAAAATAAAGACACAATTTCCGCAATATAACATGCAGGCACAAAAATAAACTATTGTAACAGGAAACGATATTACTACAATGACCAAGGTAGATAACAAGACTTGTTTTCCCATCCTATTCGGAAATAATGTTAAAACTGTTGGTATAGAATAGTATGGTAAGTAAAAATGAGCTTTGCTCTTACCTGGGACAGCTGTAATATTTTATCTGTGGTATTGTCAGTTCCACACTCAAAAACAAATACTTCTCCCCAATTGGCAACACTATTGTAATGTAAACATGACCGATTTGCTATTGGTAGACCAGCTGAAAGTAGTTTGAAAACATTCACCAAACAAGTACAATAATGACGTAGGTCTATTATGGCTTATAGTACGTTACATTTTTTCCAATATGTACAAATGAACATATTATCTTGATACAATTTGTCCTCTTTTTCACGCAGAGACACAAAATTCAATTTCGACCAAAACAACGTTTTGAGAAAAATACGTTTGAAGTGGACTTTTACAAAACCGTATATTTCACTATCAAGATATCGAAATTTTTATTTTTTTATTTTTTTTATCTTTATTTTTTTATTTTTTTTTTACATATGTTTAAAGCAGGGCGTTCTCAACTCCGGCCCGCGATTGCGTGTTATGCGGCACGTGAGAACAAGCCGAAAATAATATTTTCAGTTAAGCTTGGGCCTGATTACTCGCCTTAATAATTTTGCATTCTGTTTTGCTGACTAGACCCCATATTGCCCCACAAATTGTGCAAATCGAAAGAACTATCGCAGCAAACAGCAAAAAAATACTGTATTACCGATGATCCGTTGCGTGATATATAACATTCTGACTTTTGCAAGGGTAACTTTCTTAGGACAAGATGCCATGTATGAGCGTCTAGAAGCTTATTATTTAAAAAAAATGTCCAATACCCCTTTTACACTATCAGCAGGAATCCAGAATAAACCCCATTTACTTGTCGATACGCGTACACCGGGTTCCAAACGCCGGAGTTGGGGTTAGTGTAAATGGGTGACTCCAGTGTGCTGAACCACACGAGTTCAACGAAGCAGAATGTTTTCAACAGAACTTCTTCGGGATAGTCCTGTTGAAATACACAGTAAACAGTCCCGCCTTTTACGCACTGGGATTATTTTTAATCATCCATTTTAATTAAAATTATTTTTTTTTTTTGTAATATAACTATTTATATATATTATATTATATTTTATATATATATATATATATATATATATATTATCTTATTTTTATTTATATATTTATATATTTTGCGTGTATTATATTATATTTTATATATATATATATATATATATATATATATAGTACATTACATTACATATTTATATATTTTGAGCGTATTTATTTAAAAATAATAAATACAATGTAAGATAGGCCTATATTTTATTGCTTTGGATTGTATTTATGTTTAGTGTACACATAAATTGAAATGTTTTCCCCCTGCGAAACTAAACTTGATTGCAGCTGACTAATGAGCTATTTTCTCTCAAAACTGTCTATAGAGGGCAGCGTTCAACACCGGTGTTCGTTGTCAAGTGTAAATGGGTGTAACCCGAGATCATCCCGCACTTTCATCGTTAAGTGTTATTGGGTTTTTTGGCTGTGGTGTCACACCGGTGTTTGTTTGACATGATAGTGTAAAAGTGATATAATTCGGGAAGGGGAACACCCCCCTCTCAAATCCTCCTTAAACTCTCTGCCGTCTACTGGTGCCCGAGGATAGTACACCCTGCCCTGGTCCTTCAAACTTATTCAATGAACAATATTGGCCGATATAGTTCAGAACCCCTGGTTTAAAGATAAAGCATTAAACAATTCAGATGTTCAATTTATTTTTCTTTTCTTAGCTTTAAATAGCCTGTTAATTAGCGTTGAAACTTTGTGTCGGTTCGTGAAAAACGATAAAAATTTATCAATCATAGGTTGTTAACACGTACATCGAAGTTTGTGTCTCTTCGAGAAAACGACAATTTTATTTTACGCGCTGAGAGAGAAAGAAAAAGCAGAATAACGACTCTTTTCGCGGGAAAACAATCCCACAACCCTTTACATTTAAGTCCAAAGGTTACACTACTTACGTCTCGGAGAGTAGACAGGGCACACTTGGTATGAGAATGCAGTTGCGCCGGGTGACGTGTTAGGAAAAGAGTAAATGGTTCCCATCTTTTCCACGTCTTCAGCAAGGCATTGGTCTACAGGCGATATGAAAATAAAAGTGGACAAAATACCATCATGGAACTATATAATATTAATCATACAAACATTCGTGTGCCGTCATTATTAATAATAAACTCGAAAAGTACTTATACCTAGATTATAATAGTGACTTTGTGGGCCTTTCTTAAAGAAGCTCTTAGCTTTTAACTAGGAAACAAAACTAGAACATTTCTCAGAAGACAACTATTATGTTTTGGTAATTCCTAAGTTCCATATTATTCCTTGACGGTTTCTGGTATAAATACAGTGTATGATTTTGTAAATCAGCAAAAATTAAATGGTTTCGACTTGGTCTTATGTTAATTCGATCTAATGAACAAATGAATGTTTAGGGTGTGTACATTCATATACAGTGACAATGATAAAGGACGATGTACATTTTGTTAGAAGGACGTGAAATTTGTCTGGAATTCAGTTTAGTAATCCGACAAAAGTATTTTAAACTTACTTATCTCACAAAACTCTCCTTCAAATCCAGCATAACATTGACATGAGTATATGCCATTGGTCGCGTAGCAAGTGCCATTGTTACAATTAATATTTTGACATGGATTATTGCTTACTGAAAATGAAAAAAAGGTCGATGCATTGTTATACAAATGATATAAATATAACATCTAATATCGATATTATAAGTTCATTATATGGACTCGATACTCATAAATGTAGGATACACCAATATACGTTGAAAGTTGGAAGTGCAGTTATTAATAAGCGACAATTTCCGTCGTCGCCTTTGTAAATAATTACAAAGAATTATTTTAAACTCACGAATGTAACAAGAATCGAAATGAAAGTACCATTGTTACAAGTAATATTTTTTTAATAATAACGTATGGAATACCAGAGAAGATCATAAGAGTAATTAAAGCAATATGTATTCGGACTATGTTTATGTGCAGTGTTAGGTAGAGGAGGCAAAACAGAATGGTTCCTTGTAAAGCCGGGTGTAAAACAAGGATGTGTGATGTCGGGATTCTTGCTTATGGAAGACTGGGTGATGAGAGGAATCACCAAAAATAACAACACCGGAATAAGTTGGCGCATGATGGCCGTACCAGAAGATAGAGATTTTACGGATAATATCGCTCTCTTGTCATCCAGTTTATCACAGACTCAGAGGAAAACAAACAGATGACAGCCTGGAGTGTCGGATTTAAAAAAATGAAAAAAATAATGTCTTAAAAATAAGCAACACGAAAATGGAAGCTGTAAAAATTGAAGGAAAAGAGGGAAGACGTCGACAAGTTTACATATCTTGGTGCAAATGTAGGCAGAGAAGATAATGGTGGAAAATACTTGAGTAGCAGAACCAACAAAGTCAGATTAGCATTCATGAAATTATGAAAAATAAGGAAGTGAAAGAAATATAGTTGAAAAACAAAATACAAACTCGATAACAACTGGTGCGACCTGTCCTACTATACGAATGCGAAACGAGATTAACAGAAATGATGAAAAGAGCTTAGACTCATTTAAATACCAATCCATCAAGAAAATACCGGTATTGCAAATACGGTGGCCAAATATCATCTCAATGAAAGAAATAATAGGGATAACCAATATTTCATCATCAAGAAGTGAAACTAAGATGGGACTGGATAGTGCACACTAAGAAAGGAAATTGGACATTATTACAGGACCGCATTAACATGGCAGCCAGAAGCAAAAATAAAAGTTTGAAGACCAAAAACTACATAGAGAATGACAGCAGACAGAGAGAGAAAGTTTCAGGGATGTACATCGTGGAATAAGGCAAGAGTGACAGCCGCCAAAAGATTGAAATGCAAACAGAGTGTGGAGGCCTTTATGTGTCAGTAGGTACGAACAGAATAAGGAAGAAACCTGTGGTCCACAACTCTTTGTATAAAGCAAACGTCCAATGTCACAGAATTCACCTTCAAACCCAATGTCACACGTGCAAGAGAAGTTACCAATTGCCGAAAGACACGTTCCATTATTACAATTAATATTTTCACAATAATTTATTTCTACAATATAAAATTTTTTAAAAACAGGTGATAATAAGGTTGTTGTCCACAATTCAAACTAATCATCAGAACTTTGTATAAAGCAAACGTTTTATTAAACTCACCAATTTCGCAGAATTCACCTTCGAACCCAATGTCACATGTGCATGAAAAGTTACCATTTGCCGAATGACATGTTCCATTATTACAATTAATATTTTCACAATAATTTATTTCTACAATATAAAATAGAAAAAGAAACAGGTGATAATAAGCTTGTTGTCCATAATTCAAACTAGTCATCAGAACTTTGTATAAAGCAAACGTTTTATTAAACTCACCAATTTCGCAGAATTCACCTTCGAACCCAATGTCACATGTGCAAAAGAAGTTACCATTTGACGAATGACACGTTCCATTATTACAATCAATATTTTCACAATAATTTATTTCTGCAAAACAAAATAAAAAAAGCATAAATTTAATAAGATTTTGGTCCACAATCGATTCAAACTGATCATCAAAACTTGATATAATTCGAACGTTTTATTAAACTCACCAATATCGCAGAATTCACCTTCGAACTCAATGTCACAAGTGCAAGAGAAGCTACCATTTGCCGAATGACACGTTCCATTATTACAATTAATATTTTCACAATAATTTATTTCTACAATATATATTAGAAAAAACAGGTGTTAATAAGTTTGTTGTCCACAATTCCACTAATCATCAGAACTTTATATAAAGCAAACATTTAATTAAACTCACCAATTTCGCAGAATTCACCTTCGAAACCAATGTCACATTTGCACGAAAAGTTACCATTTGCCGAATGGCACATTCCATTATTACAATTAATATTTTCACAATAATTTATTTCTGCAAAATAATATAGAAAAAAAACATATAGGCATATGTGTTAATGAACTTATGATCCACAACTCAAACTGACCATCAGAAATTTGTATAAAGCAAATGTTTTATTAAACTCACCAATGTCACAGAATTCACCTTCAAAGCCAATGTCACATGTGCAAGTGAAGTTACCATTTGCCGAATGACAGGTTCCATTATTGGACTTTGTATAAAGCAAACGTGTTATTAAACTCACCAATGTCACAGAATTCACCTTCGAACCCAATGTCACATGTGCAAGAGAAGTTACCGTTTGCCGAATGACACGTTCCATTATTACAATCAATATTTTCACAATAATTTATTTCTACAAAAAAAAAAGGTGATAATAACTTGTTATCCACAATTCAAACTAGTCATCAGAACTTTGTATAAAGCAAACATTAAACTCACCAATTTTGCAGAATTCACCTGTGAACCTAGACTGGGTTCCAGTCCCTAATCTTTGTCTTAATCAGTTGAAATGCTTAAGAATAAATCGATTTTGGCACAAATGGCGTTCCATATTACTTATTTGCATGGCGTTCCATAGTATACTTTTTCTCTAATTCTCATCAAAAAGTTTCTCAACATAAACTGACGCTGGTGGCGCTTTCCGAAATGCGCTAATGTACTACGAAAAATCCATAAATTAGAGACTTGTGGCAAGTCTACTGTGAACCCAATTTCACATGTGAACGAAAAGTTACCATTTGTCGAATGGCACATTCCATTATTACATTTAATAATTTCACAATAATTTATTTCTGCAGAATATAATGGAATAAAAAACATATAGGCCTATGTGTTAATGAACTTGTGATCCACAACTCAAACTGATCATCAGAACTTTGTGTAAAGCAAATGTTATGTTAAACTCACCAATGTCACAGAATTCACCTTCAAACCCAATGTCACATGTGCAAGAGAAGTTACCATTTGCCGAATGACACGTTCCATTAATACAATCAATATTTTCACAATAATTTATTTCTGCAAAACAAAATAGAAAAAGCATAAATTTAATAAGATTTTGGTCCACAATCGAAACTGATCATCAAAACTTTGTATAATTCAAACGTTTTATTAAACTCACCAATGTCGCAGAATTCACCTTCGAACCCAATATCACAAGTGCAAGAGAAGCTACCATTTGCCGAATGACACGTTCCATTATTACAATTAATATTTTCACAATAATTTATTTCTGCAAAATAATATAGAAAAAAAAAACATATAGGCATATGTGTTAATGAACTTGTGATCCACAACTCAAACTGACCATCAGAAATTTGTATAAAGCAAATGTTTTATTAAACTCACCAATGTCACAGAATTCACCTTCAAACCCAATGTTACATGTGCAAGAGAAGTTACCATTTGCCGAATGACAAGTTCCATCATTGCAATCAATATTTTCACAATAATTTATTTCTGCAAAACAAAATAAAAAAAAAATAAATTTAATAAGATTTTGGTCCACAATCGATTCAAACTGATCATCAAAACTTTGTATAATTCGAACGTTTTATTAAACTCACCAATGTCGCAGAATTCACCTTCGAACCCAATATCACAAGTGCAAGAGAAGCTACCATTTGCCGAATGACACGTTCCATTA